TACTTAGGATCTGATCTTTCAAAGATTCCCAGAACCCTTAGGATAAAGTCCAGACTTCTCTGAAAACCCTCCATGTGTGCCTTCCTGCCTGCAGCTTCCACCTCGCCTGCCCCTCCCTTCTGGGCGCCCTGAGCTCAAGCCTTATCAAGCGTGGAGGAGGTACTTGATGTTCCTGGAACATCCCTCCTCTCCTTGCCGGGCTGTTCTGCCCCACTGCTTTCTACCTGGAAGTCACCTTGTTCAAAATGCCTCTCCTGACTTCTCCAAGCAAGTAGGCATTTTCTTGTCTGTGTTTCCACCGTGTCTTGTTCATATCATGATTCCGTATTTATTAGCAAAAATTGTAAGTATTTGTGTTTATACAATGCCTCACCCACTAAACTGTGAACAGACTTCGCTCAATTCCTCTTTGTATGACCTCACAAGGAGCGTGAGATGTAGTATGTACTAAACAGATGCCTCCTGAATAAACTTTTAAAGTAAGTTTTACTTTATATTTTTCCTGATTGCTTAAAGTAAGTGTTTAATATATAATAAAACAATACTACTTTCAGGATAGCATGCTCTTTGAATCCCTTTTAATAATGACAGTTTATATTTGAGCAGTACTTTTCCTTTTTCAAAGTACTTTCCCCCTCAACACTTTATTGTGAATATTCCCAAAGTACAGAAAAGAAAAAGAATTGTAAGTGAACACCCACATACCCATCACCTAGATTCTAAGGTAACTTGTTGTTGTTATTCTGGCACCTCGGAGCAGAGCCGCTGCAGCCGGTTTTCAGACCACTGCAATGAAATGAGTCCTAGTGTTTCTGCTGGTGGAGGGTCTTGCTTTCAATTTGTAAAAAAAAAAAAAAAAAAACATCAGTGAAGCCCAATACAACAAAGCACAATAAAATGAGGAATGCCTGCTGTATTTGCAAAACACTTTTATGGGCTAACTTTATCATCTTTTATTCCTAATGACTCAGGTATGACTCTACCTGTTTTATAGATGAGGACACTGAAACCGAGGGTTTAATGACTGGTTAAAGAGTTTTCCTTCTAATCTGGGCCAGTTGACTAATCCACACCTTCTGGGCGTTAGATATGTTAATGAGAGAAGGTCTGAACCTATAGAGAATTTCATGAGCTTATTTGAGCCAAACGGATGACCTGTTCGAGGGAGCAGGGTTTCAAATGCTTCAGAGCATAACAGTTTTGCAGGTTCTTTTATGCATTTGAAATTATGGAGGAGGGAGAGCAAAGCTGGGGTGGGATCACAGGATAGTTAACAAGACTATGTGCTCTCCTAAGGGAGGTTATGATTTATTACAAAGGTGTGCTGGCCTAGGTGCATGGAAACAATGAACAGAGCTGGCTTAAGGCAAAGGTAAACAAACCTGTTACTAAAAAGTTATGTGCCTGGGGCCCGACTCGCCCTGACCTGCCAAGTTAGGCATTTATGACCAGATCACCCTGTGAGGTTATTTTCCATAGAACCCAGGTGTGAAAAAATAGGAGAATGGGCAAAATTGTGGGATAACCAACAAGAAAATGTATATAGCTCATACGTCATTCAGAAAGGTACCCAGTCTTGGGTTCCCTGCCCCTCACCCACTCTCATTCCTGATTAGTCATCATTTCCTGCCCGATCTGTTTCTTCCACCCATTCTTTCTCAGTACTAGAAGAAGGTCTAGAATATCTTTCATCTCCGCTGCTCTGTTCTTTTCATGCGCCAGAGATACATGCCCCCCAATTAAAGCAGGGCCCTAATCACATCCTTGCTCAACTCACAAAAGAGAGCAGCTCACTATTTTGTACCAAATTAACTCTACTATATATAATCTCTGCCTTCCACAGTGTAACCTACCCAAGGGTCTGTCTTCTTACTCTAGCTTTCCTCTTATGACTAAAAGTTGTTTCCCTAAATACACCCAGAGCTTTCTGCTTGTTTCTTTTCTTCCTGTATAAATCACCACCACTCTCCTCCCAAATTCCAGGAGTGTAAACTCTAGACCTCCACGTTCTGGCCCCGCTCAAATGCCAACTCTTCTTACAAGCTTTCTAGAAATTCCAGGCCCGTTATAACCCCCATGCCAAACTTGAGGCATCCTGTGCCCCGATCTTAATCTCCCTTGTAGAGTCTTGTGGTCTGATTTCCCCTAAGACCTTCTGGCCCTTTGCCTGAGTAAGCCATTCTCGAGCACAGGGACACTGTCACATTCGCCAATTCACCATCGCCCACGCACACAGTCAGGGCTTCATCGTGATCAATTCCGTTTAATGGAAAATATTCCGCCAAAGAGTCGGGCGCTGACGCCCTTTACTGTATTCGCACACTCGCACGCACACGTGTGCCAGAGCCCTGGCAAAGTCTAGGGACTCCCCGCCTTTGGGCGCTTCCATTCCAGTGAGCGGGGGGGACTCTTGTCTTTAAAACCACTCCCTCGGACATCGGTTCCCTTAGGCCTCCTGCAGCATCCTCTCCACCACCAGCTTACGACCTCTTTCCTTTCGAAATATAATCATCCCGGTTCTTGGAACCTAGACTGGCCGAGTCAGGGCCCGACCCCACTAGTCCCCCCTTCGGTCCCCGCTTGGTAGCGCCCGCTTTGTCTGACGCAACGCTCACCGCGTATCTTCTAGATCTGGTCCGCTACTGCCTGCAGTGCTTCCGCGGCCGAAGCAGCTGCCGTGTTCCAGCCGGTCCGTTTGGCTCGACTCCTCCCAGGGTCCAAGAGCCCGCGAACCTCCGCTCCGGTGCCCCTGAGAGTTTGCTTCCCCGGCCTCGGCCGTGCTCTGCCCCTCGGGCGCACGAGGGGCCGCGGCGGTAGTGGCAGCGGCGCTCGGCATGTTTCAGAGCTCGTGGCGGCTCTGCTCCGCCCTGCTGCAGAGGGACGCGCCCGGCCTGCGCCGCCGGCCCGGCCGGGGTCCCGGCCGGCGCTGCCAGTCGTCTCCTCCGTCGACCACCCGGCGCCCCGCGTCCCCCCGGCTCCTGGCAGCGGCCTCGAGCGCGCCAGCGCCGGGTTCCGGCACAGGTGAGTGCTCAGCGGTTCCGGGCGGAGCACGCCACCTGCAGACCGCGCGAAATGAATGAGTGCCGGGCGGCGGGGCGGGCGGGGAAGTGGACGCTCTCCCTCTCTCCTCTTCAGCGTCTGCGGCTTGCACCTGGAACATTTGTTCAGGTTCCTTGTGCTGGATCCTTGGGTGCCGGACCTTCGATATTTCCCTCCTGGACCTACGTTCAATTTCCCCCTTTCCGATGCCGAAAATGATTCGTCTTGGTTTTATTTCTCATTGCTCTAATTATGGAAATTTTATGCAAAAAAATACCATTGAAAGTTACATTTATTTGACTGTGTGGCTTTCATGGTTTTGATATTCTGCTTTTTTTCTTTTAAAGTATATTAACAAGGTGTTCTAACACGCAGTGATTCGTCTTACATTTTTTTGGATTTTTTTTTTTTTGCGGGAGGGGGGGAGCCTTCCACTTCTCAATACTTACGTCATCCTTGTCCTACATACCTGGGTTAAGATCTTGTAAAGGTGATGTCTTCTCCAGGAGCCAATTTTATACCTCACGTACCTTTCACTTTCCTTTTTTTTTTTTTTTTTTTGCCACCTCGGTTTCTGCCTGAGGACAACATTTCTGTGGCCACAAATACATACAAATTAATCATATTAAGATGAGAAAGTGTCCCTTTCAATCTGGCAGTGGCTTCACTACACTGAAAAGTGTATTTTGCTGTGCTCAAGTGAAGCTGTGGCTGTTTGCGACATTTGTTTGACCATCCGCTGTTACAGATAGCTGCATTTCACTCCTAAAGTTCTGGAGTAGTTTGAGAAGGACAAATGAGACAATATGTTCAATGTGACTTTCTTTAATTAATCAAAGTGATCATCCAAAATAGGATTGAAACCAAGACTTGAAACTCTGTTCAGATTGTTTGGCATATGTTAGGCAGAGGCTGATTTTAAAATGAGGATGTGAAACTGGTAACTGAGACTCCAAACTCTGGGTTGTCCTTTAGGAAGAGTGAACTTGACAGTCATTCAGGTTTTCCCCTACCAGTTCTATGGAAATTTGACACATGGTGAAATAACTTAGAATGGGCACCACTTTATAACTGAAGTGTTTTTTTCTTGCTGGAAATTTTCAAGAGGAAAATTGTTAGGTTCGAGGTAGGAGAAGTAAAAGAAAACCTGCAAGAAGTCCTCTGAAACTCCCTAGTTTCACAGATAAAGAAATTATTGTGGTCCTTAAACTACTGTAGACAGTTACTCCAAAATCTGGGCAGTTTTCCTGTTTCATGCACTTTTAGCTTCATCTGCTTGTTAGAACATTGGCTGACTCGCTGTGTGACCACACATTCCTTCCGAAGTCTACCGGAGGCCTCACACACTGTAGGAGCTTTACCACGTCCGGTACGCCCCTTTTATATTACGAAGTCTTACAAAATCGTAAGCATGTAATTCTGTAACATAACAATATCACACTCAAGCACACTGTAACATTGTAGGTGAAATGTTCAAATGAAAACTATAAATTAAGCCCTGCCTGGTGTAGCTCAGTGGATTGAGCGCAGGCCTGTGAACCAGACGCTCGTGGTTTGATTCCCAGTCAGGGCACATGCCTGGGTTGCAGGCCAGTTCCCAGCAGGGGGCACACCAGAGGCAACCATACATTGATGTTTCTCTCCCTCTCTCCTTCCCTCCCCCTCTGAAGACAAATAAATAAAATCTTTTTTAAAAAGTGGCATTTTTCTCAAATAAAAAAAGAATAAAAACTATAAATTATTACACCCATATTATTACCACACTCAAGCAGGCGTTACTTCTGCTGGACCCTGTATTATAGGAGGTAAAAGAATTCGAACCTTAGTCTGCCTTTAAGGATTTCACTGCCCAGTAAGACAGATGAGATTTGCAAAAAGAAATAATTAATGAGATTAACACCTTTCTTCCCAGAGGAAAACGATGACACAAGGGTCTCTTTCTGGCTCCAGGAGTGTGTTGCATACTTACCTGTGGGGGAGACACCAGGATCATGAAGGGGCCTTTCCCAGGGTAGGGCTTACCTATTATTGCTCAGGATGTGCTGACCCCCACAAGTTCCCCAGATGTGGGAACTTGACTGCATAGTTTGTGGTAGTCAGGGACTGCATCATCGTGCTTTCCCCTGGCGGGAGTTGGGGGGGTGGCATTTGAACTGGGCCTAGAAGCATGATTAGGATTGGAAGAGACAGAATCATTTTGTCTGGGAAAAGCCCAGAGTGGAGGGGCTGGATGAGGCATAGATGCTGCAGGGCGAGGGAAGAGGCCCTTGCAACATTGGGCGCTCTTGAGGAGCCTACTGCGCACGAGTCTGTCAAACAGAACCGTAACCTCTGGGCCCCAGATTCCTCATTACCTAACAAAGTAACAACCATAATAAAACTGCAGGTTATTCTTACATGCCCCAAAGGGTAGATGTGGCAGGAGAAGCCTTCAGGGAGCTGAGAGCTACTCTTCTCTCCAGGGAGCCCTGGGGGTGGGGTCATGAGGCCCCATTGCAAGATCAGCTCCTTCCAGGAGTGAGCCCCTGGGCAGTCAGAGGTCAGTGGCCAGACGAGTACAGTCCCTTTGGAGCCATCAAATGCTAGGCTATCAGAATTGACAGCCTGGTTTATGTAACACTGTCCTTGGGTCCTTCCTCCTCAGGTAATGGAGTGTTGGCCAAATTCCTGTTCTCCACCACTGGAAGGTGCTGCTTTTTCCTTAGTACGATTCTCAAAGCCAACACCAGCTCACTTGAGAAGCTGGCTTCATTTAGTGTGTTCTTACCTGCTCAGGGGAGAGGAGAAAGGGGGAAGCTTGTAATCATCAAGCTTCTGCAGGAACGCACCACCTTCCTGGTGGGAGAACGGAGGGGTTGTTTCCCAGAGCATTCGATGGCAGGGGTTTGACTGCAGTGAACTCCTGGGGACTTTCAAGTTAATGACCATGGGTTCCAGGGTCACATTCAACATGCACATGCATGAACATTTGCGAAGCATGTAACCTGGTGTGCTGCCTCTTGACACTGGACTTCACCTGGAAGAAAATAAGATACATCAGTAATCAAGGGATCCACAAGTGTCAAACCATTTTTAGAGCAGGGGAAGTCAGCACGGCCACAGGAAGGCATGGGGCCTCAACTGAGTATCTGCGCTCCCTGTCCTGCTGTCTCCACCTGGTCTCAAAGCGACACCTGAAACACACCAGCCACCACGGATCCTTGGCAGGGGTGCAGGGAGGAGCACCCAGGAGAAAGCCTTTGCCGTCAGACTTGAATGGTCTGTAAAGTCCCTTTTTCTCCTTCCACTGTCAGAAAACCGGTGGGGCCCCCCCAGATCTTCTGAATGTGCGGATCTGCAGGTAGGGCCTAAGCAACCGGCGATGCAGGGGCAGCCTGTGGGAAGCCACTGACCAACAGCCCAGGCGGACAGCCAGGGAGGACACTTGTCTTACGAAGTGCTTAGATGCCCACTAGAAGTTTTTGACTATGAAGTTTCCCTTTTCCACGAGACGTCTGTGAAGGCGAGTGCACGCAAGGTGCAGGCAGCCGAGATTTCGGCACAGAATGACTTCGGTGGGGCGTCTGGGCAGCGCTTCGGGCCTGTCCCATCCTCTCCTGCCGCCACCGCAGTCTTCCTCCCCCTTTGCTTGCCTTCCCCTAACTCCCTGCACTCGCAGGCGGGGTAGGGCCCTCGGCCAGTCTGCAGCTGCACTCGTGACCCTCAGTGCCTCGTGCAGCAGGCGTGCAGGGTAGAGCACTTTGCAGGTGCTGATGATGCCTTGCCTCTAATGGTTTTTCTGTTTCTATTCGATGCTTTGCTTTCATGGACATTAACCATCACTGAGGGACAATTGAAGGAAGACACCATCTTTTGAGTGATAGGTCAGGCTTTATAGATTGGCTGAGATGTATTGTACATTAATCTTTCATGGTATTTTTTTTTTTAAATTTCAGTTACAAAAGGAACACATGCCCATTACTAGAAACCTTTTTCCCCAGAAGAACATCTTTGCCAGTACGTATCAATTATCTCTAGAAGCTTAGAGGGTTTTCCCTACTCTTGGTGTTGCACAGTTCCGGCAGGACAGATGCCTCAGCACCGGGGAGCCCCCTCAATCTCAGGGCAGCACCCCGCTGTTCTCACATCCTTCACTTGTGTCACGGGGGTGGTTGGCCTCGTGGACCTGGCCTGTGTCTCTTCTCTCGTTTTTAATGTCCATCTCTTCTTTATCATGTGAGATTTCCTGAACGTTCCTATTTTGCTGGCATTTTAAATATTTAGACATTTTCTGGTTCTCCGATCCTTCCTTCTCAGAAGCCAATTCTTGCTGGGTGCCCATAACATTCTCCTGTAGTTTTAAATAGGTGGAGATACACATGCCCATTTCTTCCTCCAGCCTCTGCTAAAGGGGAGAGGTGAGGCGGAGGCTGGACAGCCAGGCCCCCCCTACAGCGCTGCAGAGAGGGCCAGAGAGGTGGCCGCTGGTTACCTCCACCTTGGCCCGAGCAAGGAGGGCCTCTTGCTGTGTCTTCTCACCTGTTTAAATCCTCGATCCCCCTCTTAGAAATACCCCTGAGATCCAGAGTTAGCTCCTGGTCTGCTTCCCACAGTGGGAGGGACTCCCCACGTCGCTTCCCATGGGGGCAGGGGCGCCCCAGGCACGCTCCCCACTGCCTCAGAAGCAGTGTCCGGTCCTGGGCAGCAGGTGGAAGCCACCCTTGCCCGCTTCCGCCCGTGAGAGAGAAGTGGCGTCACCGGGCAGCTGATTCAGATGTTACTCTTGAAGGACTCGTCCTCACACTCGCCCCTCAGCTTCTCCCACCCTCTGTCTCCGCTGACCCAGCTCACTGTTTCTGGAGCACCCTTCGGAAGAACCATGTTTGATTTGCCTCTGGTAGCTGGTGGACAGAGCAGGCCACAGTCCATCACAGCCGCTCGGCCCTGCCATTGTAGTGCGGGCTGCAGATGATCGGCGGCTTCATTGCTGGAACCTGGAATTTGAATTTCGTGGCATTACCGCCTCATGAAATTCTGTTGTTCTTAGGATTTTTCCCCCAGCTATTTAAAAGTGGAAGCTCGCAGGCAGTGGCAGCCCTGGGCCGGGCTGTGGGCCCCTGACCTGGAGGGGGGCCCCGTCCTGTCCACAGCTGTCTCCACTTAGCTGTCCCGCCCCCATCTGCACCTGTAGAACGGACTGTCTCCTTGCGTCCCAGGAGTGTCAGTGGTGGGGAACCATGTCCCAACACCAACCCCAGATCTGAGTGCAGAGCGGTTGCCCCACCAGCCTCCCTTGGTGTTTGCCTCCACGCTCCACGTCAGAGCAGAGCGTTACTGGGCTGGAAAAGCCAGCGAGTGCAAACGAGAGTGCAAATGATCGGCCAGCCAGCTCACAGCAGGGCACCAACCGCGCATTCTGGCCCAGGCTTTTCTCGCGGAGGGGTTTCTGCTTCCTTGGTGGCATTTTCTAGGTGAATCTGGCATGACTGGAACACGCTCTGACGGTTGGCTCTGTTCTGTGACTGCTGCCCAGCGACAAAAGGTCGCTGGGATTGTCACCGTGTCTAGGTGCTCGTATTTTTAGCCACATTAGAGCGAGAGACATGACCTTCACTTGATATCTCCAGCAGGGCCACGCGGGGCGTCACACTGCTTGTGCAGTTCGAGCTGTGCTGACGTGTGTGCTGTGCGGGCAATGATGTCGCTGGGAGGAGGGGGGTGGAATCCGACCTCTGTTTGCTCCTGTGTGGGCCCCTGGCCAGGCCAGCCAAAGTCGTCCTGACCCAGTACATCAGCGATGCTGGTGCGCAATCCAGGTGCAGGCCGCCTTCACTGCTTATGCAATCCTGAGAGACTGTGCAGTCTGGGCCTCAGCAGCCACGCCTGTGGAGTGGTGAACACGGGGTGTCCTCGGCCGGTTTGCTGGGGCAGCAGTGAAAGTACAGGGAAGTGGTGTGGCTCTCACTAGGCTGCTGGGTGGCAGCAGCCTTCTCCCTGAGCCCAGAAAGTGAGCGTCACTGAATGGAGCAGAGTGGGATGCGCTGGGTGTGGCTGGTTCACCTGCATCCTCACGGCAACCCTTGCAGTAGGCTGCACAGGTCCCCAGATGAAGAAACTGAGTCACAGGGAAGTGAACGCGTTGCTCAGGATTCTCTATTAGTAAAAGGAGGAGCCGGAATTTAAAACCGGGCGGCCTAACTGGAGTCATGTGTCTGAATGTTTTGCCTCAAGAATTGTAGCCTGATCTTAGCAAGAAAAGTCGAAGCTTCAGCCATTGGGCACGCATGCCCACTGACTGAATATCTGACCTTTACCAGAAAAGAGTATCTTCCTAAGTTGGCACTTAGAGTCCAGTCTCCGGGGTCCAGGAGTTACTGCACTACACAGCCTCACACTCAGTGGCAAAATAAAGCCCTGAGCTGGGTGAGCAAGGCAGACACAGCCCCTGCCCTCAGGGAGCTTACAGTCTAATGAGTATAGGGCAGGGATTGTAGTTCAAGTATGAAGAGCAGTTTAAGTAAGAGAAGCCAGCCAGGTGTAAGAAGGGGGACATGGGGACATCCTTAAAGCTGTGCAGGTGGGGGGCAATGAGTTTTAAATAAAGGCACCCCTCATCCAAAGTCTAGGCTGTTCTATGTCAGTGGTTATCCTGTGAAAATAGTTGCTTAGTTAGTCTTGAAGGTGGCCCTGCTCGCTGACTCAGGAACCTACCCCAAGGAGCCTCCGGAAACTGATGAGCGGCTGGAGGAGCGCTCGCTGCGGTGGTTCAGTCGTGGCCGCCAGATGGCAGCACAGGCTCGCTCTCTGAGTGGCGCCTTCCTGTGACGTCTGTCCTTTCCAGTTTTTGTGCACTTCACTGGTCAAGCTTTCTTTGGGCCCGAGGTCGGTCAGCTCCGCGGCTTCCCAGGTGTGTACCCAGATAACCTTGCCTTCTACTGAGTGTTTGGTTTTTTGTCTCGCGGTTTCGCCAAGCCGCCACTTCGGGCGGCTAAGCTCCGGACCAGGGGGAGAGAAGGCGTGCGGAGACGAGTGGTGGGGCGGGCTCGGGGCCGATCGGTCGGGGCAGCCGGGGCGAGGCGCCCCTCTGCCGTGATTGCCCAGTGCGGGCCGGCCGCCCGGCTTTCTCATCATCACACCCCGCTCCTTCCCGTCGCTGGCGGTCGGTCGGCACTCCTCGGGAGCTTGCCTTGTGGGCGGCTTTTGCTTTAGATGTAGTGGTGGGCGATGCAGAGAGTCACGCGTGTTCTAGAAAATCTGAGTTCTCCGGCTTGTGTCTCCAGGCTGTTGCGTGGGTTAAGGGGTTGTTTGTTCCTGTAAACTGAAAGAGCGGGGAGGCGTTGATGATAATGCCCAGGGTGAAGGCGTCCAGTTCTCATGTAGGTGGAAACATGCGCACAGAATTGGGAAAGGGCAGGGGATGGCTGTGGGGTTGCTAAGTGAACGGCTAGGTATGAGAAATAAAGCTATTTTGATCTGCCTGTTGATCTATATAAATTATGTAACGTGTATCACAGAGAATGATGGCTGATAGTTCTACTTGAAGTGGCTCAAGGGGGGGGGAATTTGGGGCAAAAACCAAATACAATATGGGATGTAATAGAAAATACCAGACTCATAAAAAATTGGACCTCGAAGCCAGTGTGAGTGCCAAGCAGAGGTTTCATCAAGATTTTGTATTTTTCAGTATCTCAGTTCCCACCCCGATGAATTGTTTGTGGCTACCTCACTTCAGGAAATCGGCTTTCCGCATTGAGCTATTCTGAAGCTTTGACAAGCTTTCTGAAGCCCAGAATAACAACCCCCTACTAAGGCATATAAACGTCAGTAGAATGGCTTGAAATGTTGGAATCAGACATGTGTTCATATGTGAGAAGAATTTTTTTAATGGTTGATACTTTAAAAGAAAAAGCGATGTTATTTTTAAGACCAGGTGAAAGACAAAGAGACTTGTTATTAAGTTACTTGAGAGGCATAATAAGTAGCTGCCTCCCAGGATTGAGACAGTTAGTTGAAAATACTCAAAGCAAGCAGAATTTGCAAATGGTGCGCGTATTAAGCATTCCATAGTTGTCGGCATCGATTAGTACAACTCCTAGGATAGGAGAGGCCCAGGAAGGTGCCCCATGGTCTTCAACTTCCTTTTGCTTTCACATTTGAGTGAAGGCCTTACCGCAGTTCTTCAGTGGGGCTGGGCTTCGGTGCCGTGTTAACAGTGTAAACACAGTCAGTAAAGTCTTTACAGTGGTCGCTTTTAGTTATTCCCTCCTGAGACCCTGCACCTCCTGGTACGTATGTTGAATTTGCATACATTAAAGCATATTCATTGTGAAGGATGGAAAGTTCTGTTTTGACGGATGTGGAGTCGTGCATCCACCACCACAGTACTGTACCGAGTGGTCCTGTCACCCTAAAAGTTCCCCATATCAGACGCTGCTTCCCCCCATAACCTGACCCGGCTCATGCAATGTATAATTTTTAGGGTCTGGCTTCTTCCACTTCACGAAATGCATTTAAGATTCACCCTTGTCGCAGGGATGAATCCCGCAAGTCTGCAGCTTGCTTCTGTTTATCGCTGCTTAGTGCTGCATTGCATGGATGTGCTGAAGTCGGTTATCCGTTCGCATGGTGAAGGGCATCTTGCCGGCCTCTGATTTTGGCAATTATTAATAAAACTGCTAATAAACATTTGCATATACAGTTTTGCATGCACCTAATTTTCCACTTCACTTGGGTAAATACCTAGGGGCATGAGTTCTAGGACGTATGTTAAATCTATGTTTACATTATTTTAAAAAACTGCCAAGTTACCTTCCAGAGTGGCTGTACATGGGAAGCAATATACAGGAGTTTGTGAAGGATTAGTATTGTTTCTTATTTAAATATCAGATAGGCTACCAGTGAAGCCATTGCAGCCTGGGTTTTCTTTGTGGGCAGATTTTAACTTAATAATTCACTACCTTTTCCTGCCCTAGTTGGACTTGTTACGTTGGCGGGACATGTAGGGGGGCACAGAGCAGCTCTTTCTTACCTGAAGTTCCTGACCTTCAGGAGTAAAGCTTCCCAGTCCATTCCACACCTTTGTCCAGAGCACTGAAGGAGTCTGTTTTGACAGTTCCGTCCAGGTTTACACTTGCCTCTTGGGGAGAGGATTTGTCTGCATCCCCCTGCTAATGTCCTGCTGGTCGGGCGCCCCCACGCCACCCCTGTCTGCAAACAAACAGGACAGAATAGCCTCTCAAACGCTCTTGCCTCATCCCCAGCAAGTACTCCATTCCCTCCCTTGGGGGCAGCTTTTCCACTAAAGACCTCTTCATCCTCATTCCCCACCCCCATCCCCCCAGCTCCACCGAAACTCAGAAATTTGCTCTTGTCAAAGTCACCAGCATTTGCCACGTTACCAAATCCAGACCTGTTCCCAGTCTTCCTTTTCCGTGGACTGTCCGGCAGCACTGGACACAGGAGGTGACCACCGCACCCATGAAACTCCTCCTTGATCGGGTTTCCAGGGAGAGCAGAGGCTCTCCTTACTTGGCTCCTGCCTCTCTGGCCTTGCCATCCCGCCCCACCTTCCCCCGTTTTCTCCTTACACCCACCGTAGTCTCCTCAGTCCACGAAGCTCTCCTAGCATTTATTTGCGGTTTGCACCTGTCTCCTGAACACCAGTCCTGTCTAATTCCCACACTCCTGTTTTCTGCAAACCCACCCAATCTTCCTAATGAGTCTTGGCAACTTCTCGGAGGCCTTTTGATGACCCCTCATAGGTCACGTCCACCTCACCCACTGAACTTGCTGGCTTCTATTTATATTCATTCAGAATCCAGCCACTTGGTCACCAGTAGTCCAAGCCATTCATCTATTTACCTGAGTTACAGTTGTCCTCTAATGTGTTCCCTGTGTCCGCCCTATTTCCTGACGAGAGAGTGTATTTTTAATGCATCAGCTAGTGAGACTTTTAGTGTAAATCAGATTCTCACTCCCGCCTGGACCTCTCCATGGCTTCCCATCAGGTAAAGGCTCGAGTCCAGAGAGCGGCCCGTCTGACCCTACTCAGCCCGCCTCTCTGCCCTCCTGGCTTCATCTGCTGGTTGTTCTGGAAGTCACTCTGGTCCCCTGGACGGTCATCAGCCTTGCCAAGCCTGCTCCTTTCGCAGGGCTTTTGCATCTGCTGTCCTCTGCCAAGAGTGTCCTTCCACTGGCTCTACGCAGGACTTCCCAACTTCCCCACCACGTCAGGCCTGGGGCCAAGTCCCGCCTGTCCGCAAGGCCCCACTGAGCATCCTGCGTAAGCTCACAACTTCCTCCTCGCTGGCCCCTCCTCCTGGGTGTTTCTCCATAGCACTTTTACCATGTGACAAATTACGTCCGTGTGTCATCTCGTCTGTCTATCCCCACTCCAACACACACTCCATGAGGGCCGACAGTTAGTCTGTTTACTGCTGCATCTCCAGTGGGCTGGAGTGAGTGAGTGAGTGAGTGAGTGTGTGTGTGTGTGTGTGGCGCAGGGGGTGTGCTGGCCTTTTTGGTGCTCTTACCCGTCCTGACTGCTCCAACCCTATCACGCCCTAGCCCACTCCAAATAGCGCACCCTCAGTTTTTCTCTCCTGGGTTCCTGTGTATTAGTCTTCCCCCAAACACGTAACTCCCTGAGGGACAGGTTCAGCACATGTTTGCTGATACAAAATGCCCTTCCCAAATCTCAGGTAACAGGGGAGCGAGAATAGGAAATTTACACACCAGGGGCAGGTGATCCCTGAGGACTGTGAGATTAGGTTAAGATTAGAGTTTTGCCAGTGACCATCGCCCAGAGAATCAGCTCACAGACGGGCATAAACTGCACAGTGGGGCAGAGCCTGGCCACCAGGCCTGCGGGTGTCTGGTGTGGGGCTGAGGACCAACCAGTGAGGAGACTTGTGGAAACATCTTCCAGGACCATCTGGGTTTCTCTGTCCTAATTTCCTGCTCACTGTGCAACAGGCTGATTCATTCATCAGCTTCCCAAATACTTCAGTGTGTCCCAGGCCACTTTGTTATTAAATAATCTGGTTTGCAGTCCATCAAGGGACCGTCTTTGGTTTTCCTGGGCGATCAAAGGAGCAGAGACAGGACTGCAGCAGACACCTAACGATTCTCCCCTGCCCAGTCTCCAATTCAAAATGTAGCCTAACGACACCTTTCCCAGGTAAATGAATCTACAGAGACAAGGGCAAGAGGTGTAGGCCATTTTCAGTGCATCCCATACCTGAATGCTGTTATCACACCTGACTGAAACTGTCCATTCTAGATTTCAAAAATGAGAGGAGTCAGTCATTCTGAGTGGTGCCTGTATGTTTTCTTAATAGAAATAGGTGTCTGTAGTGAGAACAGTAGTAGGTTGTTTGGGAGTTGCTACCCCTTCTAACCGGATGCGCACCCCAAATAAGAAAGTGCGATCACGTAACAGGCCCTGGTTTTAGAGCCACGCACGCGGTTCCAGGGCTCCGTGGCCACGAACAACGCCGGGCGTGACCCCCAGCCCCCGCCCTGCTGCAGTGCGGTCTTCCTCTTCGTTGCTGCAAAGCTTCGTCTCTTGAGGGTAAATTTAATGTTTGAAAACCACCAAAAGTCTTTCAGAGGCCAAGTCACAAATCAGGTGGGTGATCAGATTTCATGGTCCTCTGCCTGTCCAAAGTGAGCTGGCTTTCATGGGATGTTTTTCTTGTGTTACAGTTAATAGCCTAGAAATGCATTTCCAAATACACACAAAAAGGCCACAAGTGGTGGAATTAGAATGTCCAGTTTGCTTCATCTCACACCCACACAACAGCCTCAGAACAACAGCACTAATACTACTGCTAGTAATTATGATTACTGAAACATTTAAAAATTAATTGGATGTGCTTTCTCATTCTGGCTCCTGCTTTTCACACACATACTCATTTTTGGTTGCACTAAATCTGTGTAAGTTCACCGTTGGGTCATGTGGCTCTCTCCCCTCTGACCTCATTAGGATTTGAATTTCTACATAGCTGTATGTTGAACGAGCACCAGCAGTTTGTGTGTCGGTGAGATTAGGTTAAGATTAGAGTTTTGCCAGTGACCATCGCCCAGAAGATCAGCTCACAGACGGGCATAAACTGCACAGTGGGGCAGAGCCTGGCCACGAGGCCTGCGGCTGTCTCTGGTCATTTCGGTCTGAAGCTCGTCCTGTGGTCGCAGGGGCAGCAAAACTTTCCTGAAAAGGGCTCGACAGTAACACTGAGGCTGTCGGGCCACGAATAACCCCGACACACACACTTAACAAACCGTAAAGCCATTCTGAGCTCAGGGACCGTGCGGACACATCTCCGGCTGCAGTCGGCGAGCCCCCGCTCCAGCAGCCCGCTCAGGGAGGGCTCCGGCGTCCGTTCTGCTGGGCCACAGACACGAGCCGAGTGTTGTTCTCCTTGTAAGCTGCTTGCTGTTCTTGCCTAGATGCCCAAGGGACTTTTTTCTCTTTTCCTTTACAGTCCAGTTGGTGTTGTTGAGTCTGGGGTGGTATTTTCAGGTATGTGGTGTGTCATTTCAATGTGTAATTTCAAGTCTTGTTCTGTTTTTCAAGTTATCTTTTTCTTTTTTAGAATAACAAAGACAAAGCTTTATGTGTTGGTGTTTGAAAATATCTATGATACATTTTTTTAACCTTACAATTTTTTAAATCATTGGTTTTATTATCCTGGCTTTATTGAGGTATAATTAAGAAATAAAAGTCACATATGTTTAAGATGTACCACTGATGTTTTGATACGCATATACATTGTGAAATGAATACCTCAGTCATGCTGATTAACGTGTCTGCCTTCTCACAGTACCGTGTGTGTGTGTGTGTGTGTGTGTGTGTGTGTGTGTGGTGAGGGCACTAAGATTTACTCTTCGAGATTATTTCGAATGTACAGTACAGTCTTACTAACTCTAGTTACTATGGTCTGTATTAGAACTCCACTGCTTACTTCATCCTGCATGATTAGCGCTCTGTACTCTTAAACTCTTCTTGATTTATAGTTTCCAGTGTTTTATTTCCATGCATTGGTCTTCTCTCATTACAAGAACTCCTGTTATTCATGTGTTGGATCTCCTTCAATTAAAATAGGCTTATAATATTCACCACTCTCAAATGCTTTTTATCTCATTTCTGAGTTCTACGATTTTGATTTAGGCCATATTCCCCCATTTTCCTAGTGACCTTCAGCTCATTTTGATTTGATGTCATTTCTGGGCATGTCTTTGTCTTTATCTGAGGGTTTTTCTAAGTTTTGGAAGGAAGTGTGGCTCAGGGTAGTTTTTCTGGCTACGTGACTCCTCACACATTGGACTCCCGTCGGACACTTACCTCTGTTTCATTTTCACATGCTTCTCATCCCAGTAACCACCTCAGAACTCAGCTGGCAGATGCGTGTCATCAGCAGGACGTAGAACAATCCTGTGAAACTGAGCCGCACTGAGCTAGTAGTAGTTCCTAGAGCCCGACACACGGCAGGTATTGCAGTTTCAGGTGTAAGGCATCCCACTCCGCCCCGGGGGTTGCTGTGATGATGCCTGTGACACTTGGGCCTGCAGTCGAGGTGACGCTGATGCTGATCTGGAGACCACACTGGAGAAACCAGTAGGCCTTTGAACTGCTTTTAAAAAATACAGCCCTGGCTGGTGTGGCTCAGTGGATTGAGCACAGGCTGCAAACCAAAGGGTCACCAGTTCTGTTCCCAGTCAGGGCGCGTGCCTGGGTTGCGGACCTGGTCCCCCGTACTGGGTACAGGAGAGGCAACCGCACACTGATGTTTCTCTCCCTCTTTCTCCTTATCTTCCCCTCTCTCTCTAAAAATAAATAAATAAATAAAATCTTTAAAAAGTACAGAAAAAGATTTTCAAAGTTACACTGCCAGCCAAGAAGAAAATCTCTTCCTTTGGACCCGTGTACTCAGACAGGCAGATTGATTAGAAAGAACTCGGTGTGTTCAAATCGGTTTGGAAACAGGTGTGTGTGTGTGTGCGTGTGTGCACTTGTGCATGTGCGTGTGTGTGAGAAAGAAGTCTCATTGGTTGGTGCATGTTTACTTACATGTACGCTGCAGAAACTAGCATGTGTTTCTTTGCCCTAACCTAGTGGTCTTACTGTGGGGCGGGGGGACTGCTTTGAGCTGATGAAAAGGTGTAAGAGAGAGAGCATGCTCACATGCTTCTTGACCCTGCTGCCTAAAGGATATTTGGTGGTAAATAATTTGAATTAGGTTTTGTGACCTGCCACAGTGAATTTGATTGACAGCTAGTTCCCAAATACAGTCCATCAGCCTGCCAAATAATGTATTTTTATACAGAAAATTGTGTGTCTTTCAAAAGAAGGCAAAGAATGAATGTGGTAGGGAAAGCCAGATTTTCCTTCACACAAAGGTTCATCTTGCACAGAATCTTGGAGGTAATTCTAAGTAAAACTTGCCCCTACTTTATACCATAATGAAGAGAAAGAAAGCTTGACCTAAAAGCAATCAACTGCTTATAAGTGACAGGCACAACTTCCCTCGTGCTGATGAGTTGAAGGTTGTGCCCTGCTGTCCTTGGTGGTTTATAATTATTAGGATAAAAAGCCAGCACTAGAAAGTGCACAGAAGACAGCCTTCTCCTCACCCTTTCTCCCTCCACGATCTCAGGAAATGAAGGCAGCTGTCTCTTGTCCGCTTCTCTCCCCCAATCCTTTTTCTAATTAAAAAATCCGGCGGTTGATAACTAGATTGACTGTGTCGCACTCAGTGGGGTGCACAGAGCTCTGCAGAAAGCCAGCCCGGCTTTACAGTCAGTCAGCATCTAAGAGAAATGGGGGTGGGCTAATCCAGCCACTTCTTTTCCTGACAGAGGGGTCTGGGGCCGGGACTGGCTAGGGCAGCGGCCTGCTGTGAGTCTCCTCTCCAGGGTTCACACGGGCTTTCCAACATCTGCCTCTATACAAAACTGGCCTCAAATATATAGAAAGAGGAGTGGGGATTTCGTTCTAGCTATGCCTTCCTAAGACTGGGTCTATAAATTATGAAGGCAAATCATAGGTTAGAGGTCATAAAGAGCATCTGGTTTTCACTAATAAAGGTATTTTTACCTTAAGAGAATTATCTTAGTTCTCAGAGACCAGTTTCTTCTTAATATTTTAGTTTTGATTTAGACGGAGGGGGAGGAAGAGACCACAAGAAACATCGATGTGCGAGAGAACACAAGACTAGCTGCCTCCACATGTGCCCTGACCATAAGTCGCACCAGCAACCTTTCCATTCAAGGGACAGTGCCCAACCAAGCCACACCAGCCAGGGCTCTGAGACCGGTTTCACAGTAGCATTTCAGCTTCCCACCCTAGTAGAAAGGTAGAGCCTGGGAACTCCTTTAACCCACCTGTGCTAGGGGCAGCATGGCCCTGCACTCAGGTTTTTGCTTCTGTGGACTGTAGCTTACCTTCCGGTGGAGCTGAAAATGGAAGAAAGGCCAGAAAAGGAGCCCAGTGTATAACTGTGCTTTGCTTTGCTTTCCTGTGTAGCTTGTCCCATGGGAAACGGCACGAGCAGACTCTATAGTGCTCTCACCAAGACACTGAACAGCAGCACCGCCTCCCAGTATCTGGAGTCACCTGACCCGGAACATCCGGAGCCCATTGACCCCAAAGAGCTCCTTGAGGAATGCAGAGCAGTTCTGCACACTCGACCTCCCCGGTTCCAGAGGGACTTCGTGGATCTGAGGACAGATTGCCCCAGCAGCCACCCACCTATCAGGGTCATGCAGTGGAACATCCTCGCCCAAGGTATGCCTGGTGCTTTTGTGCCTAGGAAGTTAATTTGCATTTCTGCTTCTGCACACGCCCAGTACACCCGTGTCCCCCAGGGAGGGAAGGGGTGTGGGCAGATGGAGGTGTAGGCTGGGGTGACGAGGGCAACATGAGCTGCCAGAAGGGGGAGTTAGACAAGCTAGTCCCTTGGTTTTCAGTAAAAATGAATCCAGCAGCTCAAGACTGATTCCTTAGCTCCCATGTGTGTGGGCCATCCAGGTACAGTGACAGTCCATCTGCTTCCCGGCACAGCAAAGGGGAAAGACAGAAAGGACCCTGTCTTTCATCAGCCTCAGAACTTTGTCATCTCCAGCTTTCAGTCCACGGCACTAAGACAGCATTTGCAGGGGGAAAACTGAATCTCCTGAATGGGTAACACAGAACTTTCCACGGGAAATGGGACTTCCCGATCTTTGGTTCAGCTATTTCTTTTCCAGATGTTCATCCGTAAGTGGGAAAGCTGCCCATTTGAAATGGGTCATTTGGAGCGGTGCCTGTATTGATTCAGGTGGCTTATTATAGTCAGTATTGAAACAAGTATATCAAGTTAAATACATTTATTTCATCAGACATAGTTCAGACCCCCAGAACTACAAAGAACAATTAAAACTTATATAAAATAGTTGCTTGCCTTATCTGGATGATAAGAGGTCTTTGGCTTGGTGGGTGAGTGCGTTTCAGGCGAAGGGAAATCTCCCAAAGCATCTGGAGCAGGAAGCATCCAGAGGGTCTTGAGTGAGATCCAACCCAAGGAGACTCCCCAGACACTAAGAAGTCTTGCTTCTGTAGTGGCTGACCACTGGCTGGCTTTTGTATTTCAGCTCTCGGAGAAGGCAAAGACAACTTTGTACAATGCCCTTTGGAAGCACTCAAGTGGGAAGAAAGGAAATGTCTCATTCTGGAAGAAATCCTAGCCTACCAGCCTGATATATTGTGCCTCCAAGAGGTGGACCACTATTTTGACACCTTCCAGCCACTCCTCAGCAGACTGGGCTATCAAGGCACATTCTTCCCCAAGCCCTGGTCACCTTGCCTGGATGTAGAACATAACAATGGACCGGATGGCTGCGCCTTGTTTTTCCTCCAGAACCGATTCAAGCTGCTCCACAGTGCCAATATCAGGCTGACGGCCATGATGTTGAAAACCAATCAGGTGGCCATTGCACAGACCCTGGAGTGCAAGGAGTCCGGCCGGCAGTTCTGCATCGCCGTTACCCACTTGAAAGCACGTACGGGCTGGGAGCAGTTCCGATCAGCTCAAGGCTGTGACCTTCTCCGGAACCTGCAGAACATCACCCAAGGGGCCAAGATTCCCCTTATTGTTTGTGGGGACTTCAATGCCGAGCCAACAGAGGAGGTCTACAGACACTTTGCTTCCTCCAGCCTGAACCTGAGCAGCGCCTACAAGCTGCTGAGTGCAGACGGGCAGTCGGAGCCTCCCTACACCACCTGGAAGATCCGGACGTCAGGGGAGTGCCGGCACACGCTGGACTACATCTGGTACTCGAAACACGCTCTGAGTGTGAGGTCGGCGCTGGACTTGCTCACCGAGGAACAGATTGGGCCCAACCGGTTACCGTCCTTCCATTATCCTTCAGACCACCTGTCTCTAGTGTGTGACTTCAGCTTTAATGAGGAACCCAATGATCTTTTGTAAACGCTTATCTGTGCCTTTTTAATCACAAGAGTCTTAACCTCAGTGGCCTGAGGAAGGACTCTCACTTCACCTTCCATGTTTCCAGCATGCCCTTGGGAAGGAATCCCACCAGTTCACAAACTTTTTCCATTAAAACCTGCAGCAAAAAGGTGTTTGCACTCCAGTTTTGGGTTGTATGGTGTCCTTTCCCTTAGCATTACAGTAAAGGGCATCAGTTAGGCTTGTTCTGAAGCTTTCAGTTTGATGATGCTATATACAAAAGTACTTTCTTGAGTCCTCCATAACTAACAAGTATGCAGGAGCGATTTCTCTAGATACTGTTTCCAATAATTTATTTGAGGTTTTAAATGTCAACAAGATATGCATGGCAATATTTATTTTTTATACCTTTGTGTAAAATTAATAAGTTGTAGGTAGCATAAACATTTTAAAACCATGTAAAACATAAGTTATAATTTGTAGTAATTTTCTTAAGGCTTTAAGATGTTTTCACCTGGGGTCTAACAAAAGTGTACAAAGGAACTGTGTAGCGTGGAGGCCCCGGGGCTGTGTTTGTTGTTTAAGTGGCAGCATCAACTCTCCCTGCTGACTTCATCCCAGTTCTTGCTGGGCCTCCACACCCCCACTACTGGTATCTCCTGAGGCGAGTCCATGACCCGTCGTTGTTATTTAATCACTGGTGTGCATTTAGTTTCCCACTGGAATGCTACTGGCTTACATCTGAAGTCACTCAGTGTCATTATTGTTTGTATCAGGATGAGCTTTTTACAACAGGTCACTCGGGAGCTGTTACGTGCAGTGGCTGAGAAAGTTTGTGGGGCCTTCTCTTCAGAGACGGGAAACTAGGAAAACCTCTTTATGAGGCCATCATTGAAATGTCCTAAGATAACCAGGGAACGTGGTCAAAGCATCTAAAGATAATGTAAAAAGATAACCTGAAATTTTCCTTCACTGGGGGGAAAAAAGTTGATCAAGTTAACAGGTACAGCCCCTTCCAAATGAAATACCCAAAACTACCCTATTGGTAATAAAGTGATAAATATTTTAACCTATGAGTTGTGTATATTTAAGATTAATAAATGGTCTTTTAAAACTAATACTTTTAAACTTGGTGGGTTGTTTTTTTTGTTTTTGTTTTTTTTTTTCAGTCCAAAATCACAATAGAGTTGATCTTTTAATACTGTGAACATGGTGGCCCACACTTCCCATCTGCACACAGATCGTTTTTTGAAGTGGACGAAGGCAGACCTAGAGCTGCGCATTGGAGGCATCTTTGCTCTGCTGGTGTGACAGCTCTCAGTGTCACGGCTGGAGCTCCCACAGCAGTTCACCCCAAGTGCGACATTGGAACCACTTTGGAAACGAGTCAGTACACCGTATACAGAAAACCTTGGGGCTACCAGAAAGCAATGGCAAGCGGAAAGAACATTTGTACCGTTCGGTTCAAATCTTAGCGGGATGAATAGTAGTCCTAGGTTGCTGAGAAACACAGCACTAGTTTCTAATTAGCACTTACCAGTACAGGCACTAAACACTGTTCACCTACCTCAAAGTATACCAGCCTCAAGAGATTATCACAACAGCCTTGAGTAAGTGAAACTCAATGAGGAGAGCAAAATAGTGTTTGAATTTCCAATGTTGTTCACCAATACAGTCGTCTGCCACTTAATGATAGGGACACATTCTCAGAAGTGCGTTGTTAACAGGTTTCACTGTCATGTGAACATCACAGAACATACTTACACAAGCAGAGATGGTATAGCCTACTACACACCTAGGCCTAGCGTTCTATAGGAAGAAAAATAACATTCCCTCTATCGTTTGAGTTTCCTGGGTGATGCATCCCTGTGATAAAAGATTAAGAAGATAAAAGTTCTAGAACAGGAATACCTCCTATCTACGTGGGAAGAGACCCAGGAACAGTAACTCACCACAAACACCATTTTCAGACGGGGTGAGCAGCAGGAGTCAGGTGTGGGTCACCAGGAAAAACAACTACAAGTTGAGGCAGTCGTGGAGAGCAGGGGGTAAGGGGTTACTGGCAAATCACTTAATTGGACTGCACACATTTCAGAAGAGTTCGGTTGGATATTCAGGAAGAAATATCCAGTTGACAATCAGACAAATCCACCTAAGGCTTCTAGTCTAGGCTAGGACACCACATCTGGTAGTGAAAACTGTGTGCGTGGGTGAGATTATTTAACAATCCTGTCAAGGTGAAATCCTAAGAGTAAACATTTAATGGAGTGCTTTACAGGTGCCAGGCACTGACTGGTTCTAAATCCTGATCATGAACTCATTTAATTCTTACACATGCCCTACAAGGAAAAGAGCCCCACAGACAGAATCTGGGTAAATATCAGTAAATGGGGAAGCAAAGCCAATGAAGAAAAGTTGGTCATGGGTGGAACACCATGACAGGGCTGTTACAGGAAACCCAGAGAATTTTTCAGGTGGAAAAGAAAAGAATCTATTTGATTTGCCTGAGTACTAGAGACCTCAACAAGAACTGTTTAAGCCAGAATTCAGACTGCAAGTTACTTGAGAAAAAGACAGAATGATGGGCCATTAACCATTGGAACAAGGAAACCAAGGTGTGAAAGAGGAAATGCCGAGTACAGGAAGTAGGCACACCCGCCTCCTACTGACACGTGGTGAGGAGGGATGCTGAAGTGAGTAGACAGTCTTACAGCAAGGGCTCTGGAAAGTGGGGTAGTTTACAGCCCAAGACCTCCATGTTCTCTGGTCGTTTGGTAAGCAGGGTGGTGAAGGCTGGAACTGTTGCTGGAAGATGACCTGAGGGATAAATGGACAGACTGCTCATCACTGTTCATAAGCCTGGTGAGGCTGGCAATTGTGGATGTGTCAAGCTATTATTGGTTCTTCTCCAACAGGGACACAAAAAGCAAATACGGGGTTGTCCAAAAAGTCCGTTACGTTTTTTCCATATGATGGCTCTAGCAGTGCTTAGCCGTCTTTAGCTTCATTCAACACAACCCTGTTAGACTAGTGTGACAGCTGCCATATCAGCATGCTTTTTTTAAAAACTTATCAAAACTGATAAACTGTGCAACCTTAAGATTGAAGATGGAAGAAAATACATATCATTTTCAGCATATTATGCTTTATTATTTCAAGAAAGATAAAAAAAAAATGGCCCTGGCTGGTGTAGCTCAGTGGATTGAGCACAGGCCTGTGAAGCAGGCCAGGTCCCCATAGGGGACACATGAGAGGCAACCACACATTGCTGTTTCTCTCCCACTCTTTCTCCTTCCCTTCCCCTCTAAAAATAAATAAAATATTTAAAAAAGAAAGATAAAATATGCAACTGAAATGCAAAAAAAAAATTTGTACAGTGTATGGAGAAGGTGCTGTGACGGACTGACCATGTCAAAAGTGGTTTGCAAAGTTTCTTGATACTACCGACATTTTGGCCAAATAACTCATTGCTGTGGGGCTGTCTTACACATTGGAAGATGGTTAACAGCACCCCTGGCCTCCACCCTCTCTAGAAGCCAATAGCAGGAGAGAGCCAACACACCCAAAATTGCCAAATCAATAGTTATTGGTGAAAATGAAAATGTGTCCCATCTTTTCCAGAAAAAAATGTAACAGACTTTTTGGCCAACCTGATATAATTTATGGTTCAAAAGGTTTGAGATTAAAAACCATGCAACTAGTAATGTCAATCCCCAGAAAAACTCCAATCAGTATATACTGTCAACAGGTGTTTCCAAATCTCGGCCATCAGTATACTTATTCTGAAAGGCTTGTGAAATACACAAATGTTCAGGTACAGCAGTGGAGGAAGCTAGGTAGCCCTGGCTTAACCTCATTAAAACCAATTCATATAGCTAGAGAGAAAATTTAAAATTACTCACTAAAAATTTAAGTTTCTCTAGCTATCTTCCACAGCACATGACTTACACTCTTAACAAATGTCACCAAAATCCGTAAAAGTCTGTGGCTGATGTGCTCAGCACATGGGGAGAGGGGTAGGTATGGTGCAACCTCAAACCTTTGCCCTACAGTGGCACAGAAGACACAACTCAACAAATGAAACTGCAGTGCAAGAAAGAAAACACTGCCAAAGTGGAGTGCAGGTTCTGAAAGCTGAAATATTTAGGAAATGTTTAAAGAGGGAGAATCTGAGATTAACTCTCAAATGGGGTAAGAATCAAGAGAGTTTTTCTTTGAACTTTTATTAAAAAGTATCATTGGGTATGTTTAAGGAAAAGATAAAAGATTACAAAGGGAGCTATTATAAAAATCATCAACTTAAGTATCAGATGAAATGCACAATTAAAGGCCACAAAATATTAAGTATCAGTTTATTTAAATTTCTAAAAGATGTAAAAATAGACAACTTTTCTTTGTAGTAGAAAGAACATTAAGACGTAGAGTCACACAGCCTAGTCTGGTGTGAAACTAGGAAATTCGTGTCATCCACTGGTACCTCTACTTCCTAATTTGTACAAGACCTAAAGTATTATTACTGGTTCTTGTTAAGCCTCAAAAAGTATGACTGAGAAACAAATGGTCTTGGTTTAAAATATAAACTCTCAAGTGTGGCCAACATTAAAATAGTAAAGTCATATGGTAAGTATAACATTGTACTTCATGATAGTAATTAGAAAGGAAGTGGCAACATGCAGTTATTTACCAAATATGAATATAAAAGAAAAAACAGAAGGATTTCGTACGCAGTAGTTAGGAAGGAAGAAGAGGATTTCTGTTCTTAACTAAAATGATGTCTCTATTCTAGCTTTTGAATATTGTTATAAATATCACCAGAGACCAAAATGCAAGATAAATTTCTATATTTCAGAAAACCTACTTGAATACACTTTGAAACAAGAGTACAACAAAATAGAATATACTTCAAATGTTGAATATACAAACTATTATAGTTCAAATCTGAACACTGGTACTTTCCCTCTTAAATTTCAACTTAAAAAAAAAAAAAACGAAGAAAGAAAACTGCAGGTAGTGAGCATTACCTGACAGAAATTCATGCTGAGCCGAAACTGGTGCGCGCGCAGACGCCAGGGCTGTGCGTCTGAGAGAGTGACACAGGCGTGTTACAGCGAAAGGCCAGGGCCAACTGTTAACTTGTCAACAATCAAGGAACTGACAGACTTAAACTACCATATAAAATGTTACATGTAAATTCTATAACAATACTGTGCTAGGTACAAGGTTTTTAAAATTTTTCTTTTAATAAAAAAAGCTTTACACAAACAAGCCATTAGCTTATTTCAATAAAGAAAATCGGAAATTAGTCTAAGGCCTTTGTTTTAAATCAGCTTAAGCTATATGATATAAAAAAAATCGCACTAGATCTTTTCTGCTATCCTCTCTGAAACGTTTGGATCCAGTCAATTCACATTCTAAAATACCTATATTAGCAGAGTCTTCACATAGCACCAGTTAAGTGAGTTCTGTGTGAACACAGTAATATTTGCTGGTATGCATATAAAATGCATCAAAAATCGCTCTATGTAACAATGAGATCGCCCATCCCAACCCCTCCCCACTGAAAACTATGACCTCTTACAGAATGTTAGTGTTCCAAGTCTTAGTGTAACTTGATATTGTAGTGAGTTGCTTGGTCCCTTTCAATCCGTATTCTTATTGATGGGTTCAGTTGTTTCCTACTGTAAGAGGCAGTTTTCTGTCAGCATCTCAGTATGTAGTTCACTTCCCACTGAAACATGGGATAGGTAACTTGTTTCCAGTAAGTTTGATTGTTTTCCTATATGCATTAAAAGTTTTAAAGTCTCCTTTTGACTTTTCTTGATGACATCCCTTGCAAATATTTGTGTTGGTACGAGCACTAACAGTCTAAAGTCCACGGCAGAGCTGCTATTTATTTCTCACATGTCACTAGTCCTTCCGTTTTCATAGTTACAGGAAGGGCAATAGCTGAAGGCGCACTGACAACCACCACGTGGGTCACTGTCTTATTCCCATCTGCCGGTTTTTCTTCTTGGACCAGCTGCAAAGTTTTCACATCGTGTTCCTGCTTTTTTGCCACCGCCTCTGACTTCACCTCTGGCCCTTTTATGACTGCACTGATAACTCGGGGAGGAGTCTGGCCAGAGGACTGCTGAGCAGGCACTGACAGTCTCATTACAGGTGCACCATGGGCTATGGAAACAGGAGTAAGTGCTCTCACAGCCAGAGGGGTGCCAACAATGTTAATGCTTCCCGATCCAGTCAGATTTGACTTTGTCTGCAGTTGACACTGTGCGAGTTGTGTAGCTGGGATGGTAATAATTTTGGCAGGCTGCATGGCAATTTTGTCTCCGTTTTCAGCAGAGGCTGGCATCACAGTAGGGATTGTCTGGATAACTACCTTTGGAGAGGCTGCTGTTGTTGGACTAGTGCTGGTTATTAATGGTGCACCTGCATTGACTGACTGAACTGCCACAGTCGAAATTTTCTGACCCAATGACGTCATTACAACAGGAACCTGCATTGCCACACGAACTGTCCTAGTAAATTAAAAAAAAAAAAGTTGATTGTATTTAATGACAAATTAGACAACAGGTCTCTTGAACAAGAGTGCAAATAGGAAATGTGGAAACCAATGTTCCCAAATTACACATATGTACTGACAATTCCTGACATTTTAAAGTATGAAATACCATGAAATAAATGTTTAGAAAACTAAAGCCCATACTAATTTTCATTTATAAAACCATAAAAACCAACTAAGGTTAAGTGAGACATCACCTACTTTAACAACAACAAAGTACATTTAAAATGTCAGGTACTTTTCAGCCCTGACTGGTGCAGCTCAGTGGATTGAGCATCGTCCTACAAACTGAGGTTGCCAGTTCGATTTCCCCGTCAGGGCATATGCATGGGTTGCAGGCCAGGTGGCACGCAAGAAGCGACCGATGGACATTTCTCTCGCACATCAACGTTTCTCTCCTTCTCTTTCTCCCTACCTACCCTCTCTCTAAAAATAAATCAAAATAAAATGTCAGGTACTTTTCAAAGTCCCAACTAACAGTGAATTCTTAGAATGCTAATATTTTTTTAAATGTATCATTTTGCCAAGGAGTTTTCTGAAAAGTCAATGCAAGCACCAGTCTCGCTCTCTTACCGTGGAGCTGCTGTTGCTGACACAGAGGTGGCAGTAGTAGGAGACCGGGGTGAAGCATCATGACCAGGGGAAGTGATGTTCACAACTCTAGCCACTCCCTTCTCTGCTCTGGAGCAGTTCAGAGGAGACGAGTTTTTCCCACCACGAACAGAGGTTGCCTTCAGCAGACTTTCTGCAGACAGTGACACTCGCTCTAATGATTTTTCGTCAGTAGCTGCTGCTAGATCTTCATTACAGGTTTCACTCTTGTCATCATCTATGACCACTATGTTTTTGGGCATGTCCTTGAACTGATACACAAGCCTCTGTCCTTCAACCTTTGCAAGAATGCCCCTTTGGTAATAATACCTGTAAGGAAAACAGAACTAAATGAATCAGGTATATTACATTCCCCACCTTACCCCCCACAAAAAAAGCAAAAACAAAACCATGCAGAATGAGTAAGTAACTGAAACATTCACTGTTTCTGTAAGATAAGGAGTTCTTCCTGTGATTGTTCAAATGACTGAGAATGCGAAGTAGCAATGGAGTTGGAACCTTTTGCCATGGGCACTGTAACCTTGAGATATATATAAAGTAGCTAAAAGTTCCTTCTTAAAGGAAGTAATGTAACCTGAAAACAGACTATTTTACTGTATTTTACAAATACTGGTAAAAACTCAACCCTGATACACCCAGGTTATAAAAACAATCTGTTACATGGAAAAATTAAGCAGTATTTAGAAGAGATGAATGTGGGATACGGAAATACTGTCACATAAAGTATGTGTTCCTTTAAAAACACTCTTAATTACAAATTTTGCGGGTTTCACAAACTGACAAAAACTTTCATTTCAAGATAAATCTATAAAGGATTCTATAAACAAATTTGCAAGAACTGAAGCAAACCAACAATTTGGAAACTGTTTTGTTTGGGTTTAATTTTCTTAAAACGTCTACAACTTAACTTCATATTAAGAAATAGCCCTAAACGTAAAAAGCACATTTTCTACAAAAATGAATTTTACAATCATGTTGAAAATTTAGACACCCAGGCCAAACTCCTCTTTCCCCATCTATCTCCAAATTTAAGAGAAGCTCCCTAGAATATGCCCCCAAATTAAAAGTTATAATAAATAAAAGACTTCCACAGCTTCTTTTTAAACAACTGACAATATAAAGAGGTGTGTGAGTTGTGTCCAAAACTCATTCCTTTGTGCTCTTACCTTAAAGCTCGTCCCATCGTTTCATAGTTCATGTCTGGCTTGTTCTTATGCTTTCCCCAGAGTTTAGAGACAGCCTTTGAATCTACAAGTTTGAATATGCCTTTTTCTCTCTGAGTCCACTTAATATACCGGGGACAAGTATTTTTATCTTGAAGTAGATCTAAAAGAAACTCCCACAAATAGGTTGTGTTTCCTTTGAAAACAATGTTAGACACTGATTAAAAATTCATTAACATAATTAAATAGGTAATTTAAAACAGGTATGTAATTATGCTGGATAAAAATCAATTCATTTGCTACTGGTGAAACAAACATACTAAAAGCATGTCATTAAGTGAATGACTTTACTAACAATCTTTGTCCAGTGTCAAATTGTGTTGTCTAGCAAGTAATAAAGTATCTTTCATTCTAACAAAATTCATAAATATACTTGTTTGCTGGATTTTAAATAACATCCTATGTAACCTTCTCATAATAGAGACCCTGAATGTGTCCTCTCACATCACCATATCCTAGATTATGAGTTCAGTAAAGGCAAAGCTATAATACATAGCACAAAGTGAACCCAAAACAGAATCATATTTGTTAATTTACAGATTTAAACTCTGAATAAATTTATTCAAACCTACATATTTATTACATAAGCCCAAATTCTACAATCAAAATTTATCAAAAGGCTTTTTTAAATTTACTGAAAAGGTAAGCAATATGCAGTGAAATTGGCAAAACCTTTAGGCATTGTGGTCTCGCAGTTTTTTGGTAAGAAACATATTTTTCTTTGATCCACCCATAAGTACGAACTGTGAGATACATATGCTATAAAGTACAAACTACACATGACCCTTTAAAACTTCCTCTTATCACCTTTATCAATAAAAACTACTGCCTCTACAAAGAGATTTCTAAAATTGCTAATCTTTCTACTGATCAGACTCAGTTCAGTGAAGATGATATGTTAGAAGGATTTCATTATATATGAACAGCTCAGTTATAAAAGACATTTATGCTTCAGCCTTAAAATATGAGCTCCTTAAACAGAAACACCAGAAGCGATATGGCAATTCTTTAGTCAAATATTCATCAAATCTGAAACATATGACATTTGATCACGTTACTCACAAAATTTGAAAATGAAAAAATACTGAAATATTTTTGAAGAATAAAATACTTATTCATCACATAACTATGCTTAAAAGTAGTAGGAGATACTGAGAAGCATTTAAAAATTGGTCCCTGGGAGTAAAAGGCAGAAAACTGTACTCGAACAACAATTAAAATATAAAAAAAGAAAAAAAAAAAAACTGGTCCCTGACTCAAGAAATGTATAATTTGGGGGATTTGGGGGATTAGGGGGAGGGCGGGGAAAAGTAGATGACAAGTTAAGTGACAATATAAGAAGTAACAGTAAACCATGTGAGATACACCAAAAGGCAATGCATAATTCAATTTCAAATGAATGACAGACTATAATGTTTGGGATTTCAGGTGTAGTAAGAAAGTATATTAAAAGACATCATGAAGTCTTAGAAGATGGCTAAGAATGGCATATAGGAAAAGGAACTTAGGTTAACTAGGGAACTTAATCCCAACAAGAAGAAAGCACCACAGGAAGTAGCTCATCACAACTTTCTTTTCCCCTTTGGAACAGGGTGAGTGGGAGGAGGAGGTGGGCAACGGTTATGAGAAGACCAGGCTTTACAGGCTGCTGTGCTTCTCTTACTCCCTCTGTAAGCCTCTAGGTGCTAAAGTTCTTAAGTCAATGAAAGAATAGAAGAGAATCCTGAGAAGAGTAGAACACATATGGCCACCACTGAACCACCAGGTCACCTCTGGGCTCCTACTCACAATCCCTTTACTATCCTCAAATGCAGATCCACGTTACAGACCCCATGAAAAGAACCTCCAAGGGTGGGAGGGCTTTCAAACCAAGCCACTGCTACTGAACCTAACCCTTCGTGTTCTTCCTCCAGCATTTTCTTTTCAACAGGTGGTAACAGTTCTGCAGAAGAGCAAACATTGGCTGGATTCTTAATCCCAGTGTGACTTGAATAATTTTAATCTTCACATTACAACATGCTGCCTTAATTGTAATGAAAGCCAAAATTTTAAAGAAAGATCATTTTATTGGTGAAAATAGTTCATCACAATTTTACTTCATTGTGAAGCATAAGGCCTTTGAATACAAGAGATACCACTGATTATGGGAACTACTTAAAAAGTAGTAATAACAATGTATAATTACTCTGTATTTAGCTTTCTAATACTTACTATTACATAAGTTTTAAAGTTTTCAGTATAAATTAAAAAATAAAACCTAAGATGTTAGAAATGTAAAATGATTAAAGACAAAAAAGGAAATGAAAGTATCCTAAATCTGTCCAAAGTTGAATTATTAGTTCTAAACGAGTTCATGGTAACTGGATTTTTTTGTGTTTAAATTTCCTGGTATGCTTGAGGCTTTTCACTTGAATTATTTAAAATTAGATACATCAGACCACCTGTTGAGGATGCAATAATTTGAATATATTAATCCAAAATGATCCCAGTACTGAATATTGGTCTGGAAACAGTTATTCATGGAAGTGATAAATTTTTTGCTAATGACATCACCAGAACATACCTCAAACCATTATTAAAGTATTACTTGATATCAACTTACCCAACAAATTAGGAGAGCACAGAATATAAGAGGCTTGCTGCTATTTTTGTTTGTAATGAGATTATATAAATTCTAAAGCAAAAACTGGTAAATTTTTGTTCTGACTCCTGACATGAGTTGAGTGGGAAGTTAAATTCAGCTTGCCTTTGCCTTTAATTATTGCACTGCTTCTACCAGTTAAGAAATTGTGTTATCAAAACTAAGTCTTAGCTGTAAACTTCTTTCAATTCCAAGTGGCTGTGCATGAGGGCAGGTGCTGTTACACATACACACTCCTCTAGAACAATGCCCCTAAGAAGGGCGTACATCAGACTGCGCTTACGACCTTTCCCAAATATGAACACCCACTCCCTTGCACTCCCCTAGTATATCTACAGCTACAGCATCTCAGTGGGTGGGGGCTGGGTACAGATAGTTTGAAAAATTCCCAGGTGATGGGGACACATCCCTTCTGACAAGTACTACTAAAGACAGTACTCCCACATGGAGCACTAGAAGTAATTTTCTGACAAATGCAAAAATGTCACCTGACTGTAAAAAAATCATTTAGTCTCCAAAATAGCCTTCCCCAAATTACCTTTTCCTTCTCTGGGTTTTTTCTTTATACCCAACTCAGGAGAACCATTGGAAATTGGTGATTGTTGGGTCTTTGGTTTACGGCCAACTGAAAAAATAAGACATTGAAACCACACATTAAAAACGATAAGCATGATTAGCAGACTCTTTGATAACACATATTCATGAAAATAGACACCAATTTGCAGACTAATATATTCAGTATATATAAAAAGTCTCATTTAAGAACACTAAAAGCACTTCTACAACTTTAGGTTATAGCAGCTGGTAGTAATCTCAATGTATATATGTATGGCAAGTCAGGTACTACTAACCTATTATTCACATGATCAGAGCCTCAATTTGCTAATAACGTGGCAATGGAAACAGAGTCTACCATAAACGTTTTTGTTTCCTGTCCTATAGGATTGCTTTTTAAAAGTCTTACTGCAGAGAATCTGATAATCTGTGAAGCCCTTTGAGCTCAAATGAGAAAAGGTAAAGAAATATTTTAAACACTCACTACAGCTCTGAGCCAATCAATTTACCAGACTTTAAGCATTAAGTATTTCAATTTCCCCATCTCGCCATGGCTGGTGTAGCTCAGTGGATTGAGCACGGGCTTGCAGACCAAGGGGTTATTTGTTCAGATTCCCAGTCAGGACACATGTCTGGATTGTGGGCCTGGCCCTCAGGATGGGGCATACAAGAGGCAACCACACATTGATGTTTCTCTCCCTGTCTTTCTCCTTCACTTCCCCTCTCTCTAAAAATAAATAAATAAAATCTTTTGAAACGAAAAAGATGACAAAAAAAATGTCCCCATCTCAAACATGAAGGTACATTATAAGGGTAAGTAAATCTTCCAAGTAATTATTTAATGTCCAGTAAATGTTTGTGTTCTCACTTTTGTTTCTCCTCACTTCTGTCAGAAGACTCTCTCAAACTACATCCATAATGAACAGAAAAGCAAGAGCTGTACTTCTCCACCCTAAAGAAGGTATAAACCTGAAACGCACTACATTCAGTCCCCAGCACTGATGAATGAATGCTGGCGGGTGGTTGGAAGCCTTAAGGGAAGAGCCTGGGAATATTCAAGTATATTATCCAGTAGTGCAGGGGATACATTCCGAGACTTGCAGTGGGGGCACGAAACCAGGGAAAGTACTGAGTCCTGTATATACTATGTTTTTTCCTACATGTACATACATACCATACATACCTTTTCATTTAAGAGAAGCACTTAATGGCTTCTCTTTGGCATATCCACCATCATTACTCTTGAGCTTTGGGGCCATTAAATAAAATAAGGGTGGCCTGAACACAAGCACTGAGATACTACGACAATCAATCTGATAACTGAGACAATTACTAAGTGATTAACGGGCAGTGAACATATACAACATAAAGCCACCGGACTAAGGAAGGATTCCTATAGCAGGCTGGACAGAGTGGAAGGCTCCAGATTTCATCACGCTACTCAAGAATTGTGTGCTATTAAAAACTTATGAATCATTTATTTCTGGAATTTTCCTTTTCATGTTTTCAGACCTGGGTTGACCAAAACTATGGAAGGCAAAACCAGAATTTTCAAATACAAGCACACCTTGTTTCATTGTACTTCGCTTTACTGCGCTTTGCAGATACTGAAGTTTTTTTACAAAGAGAAGGTTTATACTTGATCTCAGCCAAAAGGCCGAGGGGTGACCACAAACAGGTTTAAAGCTGAGCTAGTCTACTGGCACCGTTTTCCCATAGCAACTGCTCACTTTGTCTCTATGTCACATTTTGATAATTCTTACAATACTTCAAGCATTTCATTATTACTGTATTGATGATCTATGGTCAGTAATCTTTGATATTACTATTTTAATTGTTTTGGGGCACCATGAATCGCACCCCTATAAGCCAGTGAACTTAATTGATAAATGCTGTGTGTTCTGACTGCTCCAACTACCAGATCCCCATCTCTCTCCCTCTCCTCAGGCCTCCCTATTCTGAGACACAGAATATTAAAATTAGACCATTTAATAACCCTACAATGCATTCTAAGTGTTCAAATGAAAAAAAAAAAAAAAGAGGGCAATCTATGCAGCAAACTGAATTGTCTCAGTTTAAGAAACTGTCACAGCCACCCCAGCCTTCAGCGCCCACCACCTTGATCAGGCAGCAGCAGTTAGCATCTTGGCAAGACCCTCCACCAGCAAGAAGATTCTACCTTGCTGAAGGCTCAGAATCTGATGGATAGCAATTGTTAACAATATTTTTAAATTCAGGTATGTCCATTTTTAGATATAATGCTGTTTACTGCACACAATAGTATAAACATAACTTATGTGCACTGAGAACAAAAAATTCATGTGACTAATTTCACTGCAATACTGGCTTTGCTGCAGTGGTCTGGAACTGAACCTGCAGTATCTCTGAAATCTGCCTGTGTATTATTAGAGATTTGGTAACTGCCATACACCTGGGATTTGTGATGTCACTCTCCTCTTCATCAGCAAGGACTATTTCCATCCAAATAAAGAACTAAGTTAAAGTATCTTAATTTATATTTAAAAAATGAACAGCTACTACATTCTAGGATTTCATTATGATAATTCTAGTCGATAAGTATGCTTTCCCAAAATTAAAACAAAATTCACTGGCCTCCTCATTAAAATAGAGCTTAATTTCTCAATTTAAATAATATATGTACAAACCAACCAGTAATAATATTATCATCATACCGTCTCCTAAATTCAAGCACAAAAGCCCCTCCCTTAATGGAAAGGTTAGCCCAAAAAGACTTAATTTATTTTCTTATAAAAGCAGTATTTTTCAAATGATATTCTTGAGAAACAATTTATCAGTAGGGAAAAGGGTTCTACAGTCATATAAACTTTTAGAATACTGCAAGCTATCTTAACTTAGAAACTCAAAACACACATTAGTATATTAAAAGGTCTATAAATACAAAAGGCCATGCTATTAAATAACCGACTCAACTGTACATCTCAATTGTACTTGACCACAAATAAAGAATCTTGTATGTAATTTTTTAAATGGTCATTCAAGCCATCTATTTTTAAAAATCTAAAATCAGTACTGAATTGGCAAATTATGTCCTGGTTTATGTCAAAACACATAGGTTAACTCCATGTATCAACCTGTTTATCCAGAGGTCTTGGTTCCCTAAATAATCGCAGCTTTTCATGGCCTTTTCCATCTTCTTCCTTTTTTTAATTTTTAAATTGTTTTTAAACAATTAAAAATAAGCATTAACATATGACTCATTTTTTTTAATCTAAAAATTTCTTGTGCTCACTTTGGCAGCACAAGAACAATACAGAGATTAGTATGGCCCCTAGGGGAAATAAAACCTACAAATTTCTTAAGTACTTTGTCATAGCTTCCAGTGGATAGAACCAGTCAAAGGTTACAATGGGCAGTGGGCTATTCATATGTATGTCTTTTGCTTTTAAACATTTATAGCAGGAAGTGATTCTTCCTTCTAAATTCTCTCATCATACCTCTCTCAAGATACAGTTATCTTTATTTATTATATGAAGGAAGGCACCATCTTATTCTTCACTGTATCCCTAACAGTAGTAAGCACATACCTGTGAATATTACAGCAATCTAAAACACTTCTAATAACTGAAAAGAAAAACACCATTATTTTTAGTGTTTTCCTTTATTTTTGCTTTTGATTTTTTTCCATTCTAAAATGTGAAGAAAGAGGAATTAATGAGTACCCACTTATATAGTATGTTGTTTCTTTCAAGTTTTACCTTGTACTCAAACAGGATGACCCCACTTGCTGCCCATCCCCGGATGTCCGGGATGTGCGGGAGCCTGTGCCCCACCTACCTACCAGATCAGGTGGGAGTCTCAGCAGGAGTCGACTCAGTTGACACACTCTTTACACCCTGGTGAATTTATTTCACTTGTAAGTTCCTATTGGCAATCTTAGAATTTAAAAGAAGGTGTGCAAAGGGAAATTGAACTTTTATTTTTTAATCCCCACAAAAGAGTAGAAAGTAAGATTATGAGAAATAGAGAAAAGATTAAATTTCTTTTAAAAAGTAACCAAGTACCTAAAAGGGTCAAAAAGTATACAAATGTGCAGTGAATCCCCCTTTTTCCTTCTGTGTCTAACACCTGTTATAATCTCATTTCAGGCAACTGCTTTTAGGGTTTAAAAACACTAACTCTTTTAAAACAGTATGAGTATGTTAAAATACAAAATTAAAATTTTAACTTGTTGATTCTTTGAAAATATCTAGTTATGGTAACATCAATCATAAATCTACAGCATGTATTTCCTACATCCCTTGATAAGGAAAACAATATCAGAAAAAATGTCACCACTTTCCCAGAAATTTACAACCATACTCCACCTTTTTTCTTTTTCGTCGGTTCATGGCTGTCCGGTGACGTGGGGACAGGAGAGGTGTCCATTGGTTCAGACTCCTCGGTTGACACCTCCACCACAGTCTCTGTTATGACGTCCGGCCTCATAGCAGCATGGATAAATTCTGGAGTTGATACACAAGGAGGGACAAACACTTCCACTATAAAAAAAAAGTTGAAAAATTAAAATTTCCCGCCCCCATTAAATGCTTCTTGTAGTGGAAAATTCGATTTTTAGTAGAGATGTTAATTAAGCATTCACCAAAGCAGGACAAAAACTTGAAGTTAGCAATATGATCTAAGGAAGTATGTAAGGAATCAAAATGTAAGAAAAATCAACTTGAAGGAAATGTTAATCCTCTGAGTCAGGGAGGGATGAGTAGTAACCCTCTGTGTATAAAAATAGTAACTTTTATACACAGGGAAGGGCAAAAGTGGGTTTACAGTTGTTCATATGGAAAATATTACAATAATAAACTCTGTGTTTCACATACAACTATAAACTTACTTTTCCCCCCACTGTTATTTTCAAGTTCACTATACAAGACTTATTTTGACAACTGGAAAAATATTTGAAAATAAAAGAATAGTGAGTTCATTAATAATTACTTTCCTTCCACATACCCATCATTATTCTCTTGGTAATTATATGACTAAAAGGAAAATCTGCTCATCACAGCCCAATGAATATCACCTTTCAATATTTAAAATTTTACTTAATGAACAGTCCTGGATTTGGGTCACTAAAACAGTACATACAGATTGGTACTTGGTACTGCATTATATATAATAATGTTGCTCTGGCTTCCTTCCAAAGTATATAAATAATCAGGAAAAGACATTTCTATTTCAATTAAATAGTTAGCACAACTCTCATAGACTAACACATATCCTAATTTTCTTCTCCAACTGTGAGTACTTAAGATTCCTATTCTACTTTAAAACTCTAGTTGCTTAGTATCTCTTGTAAAACCCTGTAAGAAGGTCCAAACTTACAATAAAATAATTATCTGAATGTTAAAATCAGGACAACATAACTCTCAAAGGCAGTCTTAAAGGAAAAAAAGGGACCAAAAGAAAAGGAAAACTCTCGGCCTGAAGGGAGTGTGAGGAAACAGGGGAAGCTACCTCTTCCCTCTACAACGGACGGATTCCCTGGAGTCACTGCCTGTTTATCACTGAATACAGAATTGAAAGTGGCCCTGGCCAGAGTGGCTCAGTTGGTTGGGTGGCATCCTGCAAAGCAAAGGGCCACCGGTTCAACCCCTAACCTGGGCACATGTCTGGGTTGCAGGCCAGATCCCTGGTTGGGGGGGTGAGAGAGGCAACTGATTGATATTTCTTTCCCTTTCTTTCTCCCTCCCTTCCCCTCTTTTAAAAAAATTTCATTCTAGATACATAAAGTTGCGTGACATGTTTACTGGGAAAGGGCAGCCCTGGCTGGTATAGCTCAGTGGATTGAGCCTGTGAACCAAAGGATTGTGATTCAATTTCCAATCAGGGCACATGCCTGGGTTGCAGGCCATTTCCCACCAGGGGACACACAAGAGGCAACCATACATTGGTATTTCCCTCCCTCTCTCCTTCCCTTCCCTTCTAAAGATAAATAAATAAAATCTTAAAAAATAAAAAAAGAAAGGGCAGTTCACATACCAGGACTTCTTGAATCCCTCAGGCAGGTAGGAGATTCCATATGAAGCAGGGCTTCAGCAGCTTCAATTGTCTTATCTGTACAGTGTGCATTACTGCTATGAACTGATGCTTCCACTGGGGGGGAAATAAGTTCTACTCAATTAAAAACGCACTGAACACATTACAAAATTTAAACGCACTGCTACAGACAACATAAATATAAATTAACTATCATGTGCATAACTCTAAGTCATTGATACATATTGTTCTATATAAACTACTTACAGAAATACTTTAAACACCAAAAAAACCTAGTATCCTCATTTTGTAAAATGAATGCCAGTTATAAAGCAACTATCAAGATTAACTAGAAATTACTGAGAAATTTCTGAACTCATCCAAAGGACAACAAAGAAAAACTGAAATTTTAATCAATTATAGGCCAAAACTAACCTAGGCAAAAAAAAAAAAAAAAAGATGGTTGTGGATTAACAATCCTATAATAAAGGTCAATTATGTATTTTAATATACTGTTACTGAAATTAGGGGTGATACATACAGAATTGATCAGAAACATGTTTCTAAGTTAATTTAACAAATCAGTTCAAATCCCTACAAAACCTCCTTGGTGAGTGCATTAGTTGCAGCACCAAAGCATTCTGGAAGGTTCTTCACAATAACCTTGCTTTGTCTCCTTCATGACCTCACTAGACTTTGCTGGGTTTTATCAAAGAAATCCTTAGAGGTTTTATGGGATTTTTTTTAATTGTACTGCCTCCTGTAATTCTCTCCTAGCACTTGGCCTATGCTCTGCTGATTAACAAAGTACCTGTGAGGCAGTAAAGTGGGCAGCAGTGGTTGGGCTTCCAGGTCCGAGAGCGTGTGTTCTAGTCCCTGCCCCCTATCATTTATTTCTGCTACCCTGGGCCAGCAATTTAGTTTCTTGTAAGGCTGGGTTTCCTCTGTCACGTATCAGTACTCCTTGTGTACTGATTCCTTACACAAGTTGTGAGAATTAAGTGAGGAGACTCCCATAAAAAAACACAGATAAGAATTCAGTAAGCAGTGATAATTTCTTACCACTCTGGTAAGATTATAAAGTCTTTGATATCAGAGAAGTTATACATTAATTCGGCTTTATATCAGTTATAGTTCCTAACACAGACTTTTCATATAGACACACATGCAAGTGTGTCTTTTATGTATTGAACTCACCAACCTTACAGAAAAAAACAGGCAATTCAAACACAGATGTATTATCTTAATGAAATAATAATTTCACATCCTGACTTAAAATAGTCAATGTTTTACTTGGTAAAAGGTTCTGAAACATGGGTACACAAGTTTCTAATTTAACATATTTTCCTCAAGATGTTCTCTAAAACTAATAGTATGTATTTATATGAATTCTCTAAAATCCTATTACAAATTCACAAGTTCTACACACTAAAGACTGTTCCCAGGAAACTTTTAATTGAAAAAAATTTCATTTAGTCTCAAAATTCCCCAAATGATAAAGGCTCAGCCTTAAATATCAGTCATTTGGAGAGCATTTATTTAAAAAAAAAATCCAGTGACTCTTTCACCACCTGTTGCACATCATCCACACTCTCAAGCAAGGTACTGGTCTCTCCAGTTGCTCTTTCCATTTATGGAAATCTGCTCAAAGCTAAACGGTTCCAGAGAGGCAGCCAAACCTCTAAGTAAATCTATCTTTAGGTGACCCTGCTTACTCTTATCTGCAGCTTCACTGAAGCAAAGGATTCAATCAGTGCTTCCAGCTCAACTTTAAGAAACTTAATTATTAGTAAGAATAAAATACATTACAATTCAAGTATTTTTTTCAAAGTACCTCCCTATAAATACTCACATACAATAAAGAACCCTGGTAAGCAAATTCTCAGGTTTTGAAAATTCATGCTAGGAACTTCATTCTCTTTAAAGTACGCTTGTGTTGCAATTTAGCTGTTGTCTTAGGTGCTATTTATAAACCATCCTGGATAAACTAATTCCTTATGTAATTGTATTAAGACAAAACCTAAAAACTACTGCATTAAAATCACAGCTTCAAATATTTGATTATATAGCAACAGAATTTCACCAGATACTTAAATTTTAAGCAAAATGAAATTTGCCTAGATGTTATATATTATGCTACCTGAGTTCCTACGTAGTTTGAGGCAGCATTAATTTCATATTAGTTATGTGAGTAGAAATTATTTTCTAGCTCATATTCCTGACCTCGACATATTATTTATTACATTATTCCCCAGAAATATTTCATATTACAGATTAAAACAAATAAAAGGTATACAAACTTAAGAAGAAACGTTCCTTATTTATGCTTTAAGTTTAGAATGAGAATAAAGAAAATGCATACCTTTTCTATGAAGTACCAATCAGAAGATCTAACACTCTATGTGCAGTCAACAAATAGTTGAGCATTCACCACGTGCCAGACACTATGCTACAAACCTGAGATACACACATGACCAGATTGCTGGCCTCACAAAGCTTATGCTGATAGTTCAGAAAATGTCAAAGCATTAATGGAAGTAAAATATTTGAAAGCTAAATAAAAGTGCAAAATTAATTAAAGTTACTCTGTAAGCTAACAGCTTATTAAGAGCACTGATTTCTTTTTTTGATGCTTATTGGTTTTATTTAATCATTTTTATTTGCCAAATAACCCTAAGCACATCCTAAAAAAAGAACACCTAAGAACTCACTTAGATTAGTTTACAATAATGCCTCATGACAATTTCCAAAACTATTTCACCCATTTTATAAAAGTGAGCACTATCTTTTTACTTGTCTTTCACTGACATAAGTTGACATGTCATTTTTGATAACAGAAATTTAAGAAATATTTCTCCTCTTCAAGTTTCTGTAATTTAAAAAAACTTTATACTACTTGCTGACCACCAACTCAAACATAATTTAAAAATTTTGCACAACTCTTAAGGATAAACATGAATTTTTACAACGCTGTATAATCAGCCCCAGCTGGTGTGGCTCAATGGATTGAGTGCAGGCCTGCAAACCAAAGAGTCACGGGTTCGATTCCCAATCAAGGCACATGCCTGGGCTGAGGGCCAGGTCCCCAGTGGGGGTTGCAAGAGAGGCAACCACACAGTGCTATTTCTCTCCCTCTTCCCCTCTCTCTCTGAAAATAAGTAAATAAAGTCTTAAAAAAAAAACCAATGTTGTACAATTGAAGTAAGCAATCTATTATATAAGCAAGGGCTAAAAATTCCTTTTTTCTAACTTAAAACCTGACTTAATGGTGTATATGAAAAATATGGGAGGAAATAATAAGCAACTCATTTTTAAAAAAGAAACAATGACCCGAAAGTTAATCTGCGAGGTATTTTCTAGTTAACACTAATAGTTGGTGTTGCTGGTTAATACTTCTTGAAGAAATAAATGTATCAAATAAATTTCAAAACTATTTTATTTTAAAATACAGTGGCATTAAATTTGCGTATGCCTTCCTTTACTCTTGGTGAGAGTCGTCTTGTTCTGTTTCTAGCTTTCTAATCAACTGGTGTTTGTATGGTACACTATTCCAGACTCACTCAACAGCTGTTGCTAAATACCAAACTTGGTAATTAAGTCTGACAAGAGACATACCTCTCAGCTTTGCAGAAGAGAATGCTGGCAATGGATCTAGCTCACAACAATGTTCTTAAAGTCAAAAGTAAAAAATAACAGCAATTTAATTTGAGAGCAATGGGAAAAAATTAGAAAACACTTCATTAAATCAGAGTGGCATTCCTCTCCAAGCAAGACCATAAACTAGCATTACAAGGTCATCACTAAAGTACCACACCTGACGCACTACAGCTTATCCTCTGATGGCCCAAGGCTATACAACCTACCAGGTGAGTGAAGAATACAAACAAATGCAATGAAAAGAAGGGAAAGGTGAAAAATCTGGGACACTCAGCCTTTACCTGTTCCCTTCTGACTTTCTAATCAATATAGTTGGGCTATAAGGTTTAAAGGGGAAAAAGAAAAAGATTACTTTATAAAGTAGAGCTGTCTGATAAAAATATAACATGAACTAGATCATTTTAAAATTTCCAGTAGCCGCATTAAAAAAGCAAAAGATTAAATTAATACTTTTGTCATTTAGTATGTAAATGACAAAATTTATGTCCAATATGTAATTGGACATGAGGTTTTCCACTGCTTCAGGTTTTACAGGTAAATAAAATTTTTTAAAATAAAAATTTAGTTTCTCGGCCACATTTCATGTAATAAATAGGTCATGTGGCTAATGGCCACAGTACTGAAAAGTGATGACTAAATAAAACTGTATTTCAGGTATTTTCAAACCTTTTTAATAAAAGGACCCCTTTCCACCCAAATTATTGAGGACCGCAGAGATTTTGCTTGTACAAACCTATGCAACCTTCGTCCTATTTGAGATTGAATCTAAGAAAACTTTAAAATGTTTACTAACTCATTTAATAAACCCAATACTTGTAAATGCAATTAACATTGTTTATTCAAAGTACCTTTCTAAAATAAAAAAATTAGTGATTAGCTTTGTTTACACTTCTGCAAATCTTCTAACTACATGGTAGATAACAGCTGGACTCTCCCATTTGCTTCTTAATTCAATCTGTTCTAATAGCCTCCAGAAAACTCCTCTGAACACTTCTCCAAGTGAAAAGGAAAATAATGTGCTAATATTATTATGAGAGCAATTTTGACTTCACAGACTTCCAGAATCCCCAAAACAGAAATTTTAGTTTTGTATAAGTTCATCTGTAATTTTGTATCAGATATGATTAATAAACACCCAAATTCTAACCTTATGTTTCTGTTAAGTTTTAGCATCTAAACATAAACATCAATGTATAAAATGAAAAATTATTATTACATTTCCATAAGCACAACAGTATTTGTGCATTTATACACAAAAGATATTTTTTATTTTTTCATAAATATTTCACTGCATCCTTTTAAATATTTACCCAATAGTTAATAGGAGTTTAATTATCAAGAACACTCTCATGCCTGCCTCTCTCCAACCAATCAAATTTGTTTCTGAAGGAAATTATTTTATGTTGAATTATCCTCACTGATTACACTGATACTACTCTTTAACTCGATTTTTATATGAA